CTTCAACCACTAGGGTAAAGAGGAAGGGAGAAAGATGATCCCCTTATCTAAAGCCCCTAACAAAAGTAACATGATAGAAAAATGAGCAGAAGAAAGACAACCCCGAATCTATCTTCTTCATCTCGAGACAAAACCCATGAGAGTCATAATGTTATCAAGGTAATCCCACTCCACTTGATCATAGGCATTTTCAAAATCAATCTGAAGCAATAAACCACCAAGACCCAAAAAATCAGTGGCATGGATGGTCTCTTGAGCAAGCAAGATACCATTACTAATATATTTATCTTTAATGAAAGCAGTTTGTGGTCCCTCGACGGCCTCATTGATCACCAAACGAAGACGGTTAGCCAGAACCTTAGCTAAAATCTTAAACAAACTTAAGAGAAGGCTGATAAGCTAAATATCTGTAAGGGAAGCAATAGGTCATTTTTTAGGGATAAGTGAGATAAAAGTGAAATTAATGGCATGGCACACGATCCCATCATTATAGAACTGGTTTGAACCAGTGAAAAATGTCGCTCTGAAGGATCTCCTAGTAACTTTTGGAAGAAAGCTACTGGGAAGCCATCAGGACTAGGGGCTTATCCCTAGGCAATCCAAAAATAATCTTTTTGATTTCGTTAAGGGAAAATTAATATTCTAGACTCTCAGCAGAAAATTCAGAGAGAGCCTTAACAGGCACATCTCCAAAGTCAAAGGGGAGCCTAGGCTCGGACAAAAATGGTTAACAATGTCATCATTGATAGCCGATGGATTATCCATCTCAACACCCTGGATAGATATTCTAGACAGACAGTTGGATCTATTCCACGAATTAGTAGTAGCATGGAAATGCTTGATATTATTATCTCATTTCTTAACCCACTTGGATCTGATATTGTAAGGAGTTTTGACTCTTTTTTTTATCATCATCAAAACCTTACCCCAACTATTTGGGATCGTTTACACGATACAATTGGGATAAGGCCCTAATGATGATGATTAAAAAGATGTTGAAAACCCTCACAATATCACTAAAAGAGTCAAAAACTACAAATTACATACTTGAAGGTATGATTTTAAATTTCTATCAAGTACGTCCCAAAAAAGAGCAAAAATGAATTTGATATTTTCAACATCTTTTTTATATTTTACCTAAATTAGCATAAAATCCAAAAAGAAATTACCAAAATATGCTCTTTCAACCCAAAAAAGAAATCTGTCTAAATTTCTGACTTTTGGAAAACACATACATGATTCAAGCCACGTGCAACCTCTTAATCCTCATGAGAAAAGCAAAGCAGAAGCACACGTAAGAAGAATATTAGGATGAGTGGTGGTGGGGGCAAGGAATATATGGTTAGGAAAAGGAACAAAAGCTAGGGCGGCTATGCATATTCCTTGTTTTTATTTATTAGATTTATTGCATCCAAAATAGTATTTATATCTAATATTTTTAGATGGTAATGACTATAATGCCCTTATTTTATTTTTTATTATTTTATTGGAAACAGATCGTATAGGCCGACATGCTTTTAGTAAAGTATAGGCTAGATGGTCTAGATTGAAGGAGAGATATGAATGGCCAAATTATGTGTTATTAATTATGAATTTTTCTACTTTTCTTTCGAGGAAGTAGCTGATTGATATCTAAAAGCATGTTCTCAAATGTAATTTTTCTATCTTTTTGCCCTTTAGTGATATTGTAAGGATTTTAATCCCTTTTTTTGATATTTTCTTAAAGAATTAAGGATCCAGTGGGCTCCAAATTTTTCACGCATTTAGGTGTCATAGGCACTCAAAAAGGAAAAAAAAGGATTCCAACATCATTTTGGGTTTAGATAATCTCTTCTCTTTCGATCTGAACCCTGTGGCTTATATGTCTCTCTATATTATTTCAATTTTTTTTTCTTTTTGCAGTATGCTGGGGATTTGTGTTCCGTTTTGGAATATGAAATCTATTCCCAAGCTTGTGCAAATAAAAATTTAAAAACAAATAAAAGAAAAGAAGAAAAATAACTTTTTGTTAACTAATTGTGGAATGGTCCCCCTACCCGTGATATGATAAGAAGTCAAGAAAAAGGAAAAGCATATGTACAATGGTTTTCATTTTGTGAGTTTCTTTGTGGATTTATCATGTACTTTTATTCCCATACATATTGGCTACATCTATATTGAGCCTACGTTCTTAAAATGAGCCTCCCATTGGGTTCCCACGCCATTCTATTTTGTAAGTTTCTTTGAAGGCAGCTAAAGCTTTTCTTGTTCTTATTAGAGACTATTGTCAAAGGTCAAGACCCTTCCACGTTATTTTCACATTAAGATTCTATGTATTTGCTACCCAAAACATTCTCAATTTATACATAAGGTTGTAATATTAAACAATCAAAGGGCACCTCTAAATTTTATGAAAAGATGTATTTTTGGTGTGAAAAATTGTTTGGGTGGCTGAAGAATCTATTTTTATCTCTAATTATAAAATTCTAAACTCAAATAATAGTTCAAATAAAATAGTGAAAATAGACTATCCAGATAATATGCTGTAAGATGTATTATTTTTGGGATATGAAATCCCCTTTTTTTTTATATATTCATACATATCGATGTCGAGATGAATAATTATAGGGTTTTCCAACATCCAAACAACCTTATGGATTTTTGAGGTGCACCTTAATTCTACATTTTAAGATTGCAACCTTATATAAACCTTTTCCATTTATATTTATATTACATAACTCTATTATTTTCAAGGAAAAAGATTATACAAGCCAATGAGCTTGCAATGTAGCATAAGCCACTTTGAAAGCAGGGATACTATCATAAACTTTGTGCACGTCTCATCTAGGTAATCGAGAAAAGAAAAGAGAACAAATTCAAATTGTACAATAAGCAAGGGAAAATGAATTTTCTATTTTTGGTTGTGATTCTCGTTGAGTATAGGTTTTCTAGATGATGGATCTAGGCCTTTTAAGAACTCAAATATTTAAAAATATTTAAATCTTATATCTCAAATGGAAAATGTACAAAAGTTCAGTCCAATAATAAATAAATAAATACTCTTAACAATATGTTTTAGAGCTCAATATATACTGTAGCGATGAGCAATGGATTATAAATACATTATAAGACATGCTAATGTTAAGATAAAGGTCAAAAAGAGTGTTCTTAAGTTGACTCAATTCATTTCCCTTATGGTCCCTTCAGGAATCATGTGGTGACGGTATTCTAAAGCCATGTAAGGGAACCTCAATTAAATAAGAAAAAGGTTAAAATAAGGCTTAAAAACAAATCCGCATCTCAAATCTTACTTAATTACGGTATTGAAAAACCTTAAAATTGATCATCTCAACCATGATTATTATGGAAGTAAAAAAAAAAATTTTGAAGTCTAAAAATAGTCTATATTATAATATTTTATCTACACTGTCCATTTTTAGGAGCTCATATTTATGTGAGATCTATACCATTTTTGGGCTAAAAAATTTCATAATCGGTAGCAAAAAAAGATTTTAGAATCAGGGGTTTCCTATGACCCGAAGGTTTTTCTAAATAAACTTTCGAGGTGAAGCTTTACTCTTTTTTTTTTTTATAAAGCATACAAACTACATCCATTAAATAATAACATAAACATTTTTACTATTACCCAAGAAAACAATTTGAACATTTTGACTACTCAAGTAAAACGTAGATTTGAAACTAAAGTTTATACTATGCACTTACACTAATCAAAGAAATAAGGCTTATTTGGTGGTCCTGCAGGAGCACTGTGTAACTTGATTCCACTGCCCAGTCACCTAGTTAGAAGTAATTTTATTAAGCTAAAAATTTCAAAATCACAATTTTGGAAAGATTGATTTTGAGTTCAACCAGATCAAGGTCTAACTATCCAAATTTTATTTGGGAGGGCATTCTTAATTGAGGGATTCACACTTTTCCAACTCATTTATTTATTTTGAAAAATACTGTTTGAGTCGATGAAAGTCTTTACAAAATTATTAAGTCAAAATATACCAATGATGATTTATTTTTTTATTTTCATTTCATTCAAGTATTGTCTAAAAAAAATATTTTAAAAATATCCAAATTGCCCTTATTCAAGGTTCCATGTTGAAAACCCCAAACAAGAAAATATTGGTATCTCTTAAATGGATCAAATTACTAAAATTGCTTACTTATTCATGGTTCTTACTTCCCAAGCCTGAAAAAGGGTAGCTTAAGTATTTTTAAAATTTCTATTGAAAAGATACCCAAGTGAATGAAAGTGAAAAAGTAATCTTCTAATGATAATTTAGATATTTTGACATTGGATAATTAACGTTAGAGGTTATGACCCCTTAAATGACATTTTCCCATACTTTTAAAGGGAGAGCTTTCTATTGTGACCCTAACAACTTATAAATTATATGTGACCCCACGTCTCAATCATTGGATTTGAGTAGACAGCTACAATTGTTCATGCCACAATGTCATAGTAACAACCTATTTAGATGAAATTTTGGGCATCCTATCATAAAATTATGGCAAAAAATAAAAAATATTTTTCATGAAAATAAATAATCAAAATATCTCTAAAAGTTTTAAAAGTCACCAAAAATAATTTTTATTTTTTATCATTTGTACCCTTGTCAAATCTATGCATGCTCCAAATTTTGATTCAAAATGAATTACAAAATAAAAATTACGAATAGAAAACTTGGAGCTGTGGAAGAGCCAACTTATGGCATTGTGACTCAAGCCATCTCGGCTAACTACTCAGATCTACCCCCACTATCTTGGGTCACATATACTATATATGGGGTGGGGTCATATAGACAGCTTTCAATGATATCTACTTACATGAATATGGTTTGAGAGTTTTTGGGTTCCAATAAATAATCCCAGGTGTTTGAACCGCCTGACCAAATACACAAATGGGATTTTGGAGGAGCACTAGAGCTTTTGCAACCAAACATTATGATGAAAACAAATGGTTAGGTAAATGAGCATAGATCCCTTTCTGGATTCTGAAATTTATATCGAGCAAAAAGAAAAAAAGGTCCTTCTTTTTTCTTGATTCTTACAAGAACGATTTCCAGTTTTCAACTTTCGGATTGGAAATTTCGATGAGTCTTGGATGTCACTCCTGAACCAGTAAATTCTTTCTCTCTCTATCTCTCTCTCTCTCTCTCTATATATATATATATATATATCTTATTTTACTGTTTTATGAGGTGCTATTGCATTACCGGCAGTGGTAGTCTTATTAAAATATACTAAATGGGCAGATTTAACTATTCAAACTGCGAAGACCAGGAGGTGGAATTTGCCTTGAGGGTTGGTAATTCAGGTATTGACTACCTGCAACTCCTTGGTTCAATTTTCATGACTTTTAGACTTTTTTTTTTCCTCCATTTTTTTGGTTTTTACTCGTCATCTTTTGGGGCGGGGTAAAGTCGGGGAAACACTTACAAAAAGTCCATCGAATCAATTTTATTGTTTTTTTTTTTTCGAACTTTTTGGAAAAATTGCATTTCGGTGTTGGTTTTCATAGTAGGGAGGAAAAAATAATCAGGACCCACATGCAAAAGGATCCATAAAATCAATTTTACTGTAATATCCTTTCCGAATTTAATCTTCTTTCAATTCTTTAATGATTTTTTGGAAGACCCATTTGGATTTTTGATGGTAATTTGCTTTTGTGAATATGGATGGATGTAAAAAAAAAAAGGAGTTTTTGGGTGGTACTGGTGTTTGGCCCCCTTTTGACCTGGATATACGTATTTAGGAAGTCCTCTATGTGGTTTCTTCACTATTGAACCAACCCCAATGAATAGAAACTAAAAAGGACCATGGAATTGAAGAAAGTTCTTCTCTTTGAACGATTATTGTGAGAATTTTGTCTCTTTTTTCTGGGCTTTTCGGCTTCACCTTTCGATCTTTTCTTGGAGCTGGCTTATTTGTGTTTCTTTTGTTTTCTCTGGAGTTCCAATCTGTTTCAGGTGAGTATCATTTGCTCAGATAAATTTATCTGATCATGGGCTCCTTTTCTTTGGTGGGTTTCTTTTTCTGTTGTTAATTTGCCTTTTTTTTAAGAAATTGTTGCATCTATAGAGCTGGAAGAATCTTTGGCTTTTCGGGTCCCCTTTTTTCTTTATTTTTCTGAGATATTTATAGAAGGTTTTGGGGATTTATGCATCTTTCGTTTGAAATTTATTTAGATATTAGCAGTGGTGTATTATCTTTCAAAGTAAAAGATTAGAATTGGTATCCTGGCTAATGTTTTTGGAGAGACGAAGCAATCATCTTTTGGAATTCTGTATGTGTGGTGGGTCATTGTGGGGTTTTTCTTGTTCCTGAAGTTGTTTTTATCTATTCAGTCTTTTTTTTTTTTTGGTAATTTCCTTCTGGTGAACTCCGTTGATTTATATTTTGTTGGGTTAGATTTGGAAACTGATGATGAATTAGTATCTCACAATCTGATTAACTCTATTTCTGAATTATATTCTTATGTTTTGGTTAAGTGACACTTCCGATTTGGGTGATTGTTTTGAATGGATGGTATTCATCATTACTTAAACATGTTAGCTTTCTTGAATGGAACAAATTTGTGCATGAAAACTGCAACTGATTTGTATAAAAAAATTTTCCACTTGTTTCTTTTCTAAAGCCCAACTTGTGCTTTTTATGGATTAAAGATCACTTTCAGGCCTATCTTCTCAAGAGTATTTGGAAATTGAAATTTTCGAGGTAGTTTTTTTTTTGGGTAAATAATTTCAAGGCAGTTGTTCATTAGATTTCTGTATACTCAACGGCATTTTGCATTCCTTTTTTTAAATAAATAGCAATTTTGGGATGTATTACAATTTTATGAAGCTTTGAAAATTTGTCTGAGGAAGCTGTTGCTACCGATCTTGGTGAATTGTTTGAGTTAATGCATTGATGTTATTGGATTTGTTTCTCTCATTATCTTGGTTGGTGACTGAATATAAATGCTTTTGTTTGCTTTGGCTGACTTTGGAAACTGCATTCTGTATCGACAAAAGCAGGAAAGAAAAATAATCAGGAAGGATTCTGAGAAAAAAAAAGTGTAGTTTTCGAAAATCAATTGTAACTGCTAAAGCACTTGCATCAAATCTATTCTGGTTAAATTCAATCCACTTGACAAACTAGAAAAATGGTTAAATTCAATCTATTCAATTTATTCTGGTTAAATTCAATTTAATCTCAAAACACCAATAAAAAAAACACACGATCTTGAGTTGGTATAGTTGCAAATGGGTAGAATATTAAATAGTTCATGTCTTATGGGCATATTAACAATTTTCCCTATAATATATAGGATGGCTTAGAATCTCAGATTTGAGAATTGAGACTCACCCAAGTTGGTCATTCTCTTTGGAGAATTATGAAATTGCAATAATCACTGGCATTAGAAAAACGAAACCATGGTGGAGCATCACAAGCTGCTTTAAAACCAAATATTTTACTGAATACTTGGTAAAAAGAAACCCTTTAAAAGCAACAATACTTAATTAACTAGTGAAATTAACTGTTGCATTAACTAAATAATGTGTTAATGCACAATGTCAGACCCATATGTGATACATCGGGTCATGGTTACAGCTGTTAGATCTTGTATGAATCACAATGAATGCATTTTTAACAGAACTCATGTGGCAAATTTTGTTACTTAATTTTAAAAGGAAAAAAAAAAGTGGTACTTAGATATATGGATCCTTGTATGGTATTTCCATACCTGCGTAACCATCTTTTCTTCTGATGATAAATTAATACTATTTAATTTTGTGGTCATGGATTTAGCACACCTTGTGTGGATGCTCATCTGGATATTTTTTCATGGTCCATGAAACCTCTTGGCATGAGGTTTATCTTGTTGTTTTGCGGTAGAAACAAGTTTTGTAGCATCTCATTTCGTGTCTCTCTGATCAATTATGGGACATTTTCCTTCGTTTAGTGTGCCTTCTACTCTTCTTACTAGAAACATTTTATCTATTGAGTAATTCGGCATTCTGTGAATGTAGTTCTAAATTACTAAATACTAATTGTCATTGTTTCTCTTTCTATGAGTTTTTTTATGATGATCACACCTTGGATCTGGATTCACCTTTTTTCCTTATTTATTTATTTATCTTTCTCTAGTTTTGTCTAGCATGTTACCTTTATATTGTTCTCTATTTTGCCTTTAATATTTGGGCATACTTGTAGGGAAACTCGTGCAGGAGCATGATCAAAGGACATCTCGCTTCATGGGGTGGCTGAACAAAATATTTAAAGGTTCTTCAAGCCATAAAATTTCTGAGGGTCAATATCAAGGGATTCTTGGAGACGACAAGCATGTTTGGAATGAAAATTCAAATTCCTGGGTAATGGCTACTAGCTTTATGGTTTATTGGATTTCTGTAGGACTTGATTTTGTACATTATAATTTGTTGTTCCATGACTAGAATGTGACAATGTGGACAAGTTACCTTTTTCTAGCAAATTTATGAAGATCACATTATTGTTTTCTTTTTATTTATTTTTGAATTGTAAATGAAGGCATAATTAATTAAAATTACTCATGGTGTTCCCATGACCACCTTGTCTAATGCAATGACCAAGTTCATACCACTGCTCCATTATTAAAGGTCAGAGATTTCACGCTGAAGCTCCATAACAAATTTATTAACAATTCCTCAACCAACATTGCAGTTATGCTTCTTTACATCTTATACTTCTCGATACTCTTTTCCATGCATTTAACGTTCATAATCTTATGTAGACACTCTAATATTGGCTGCTTTAGTGAAAGCGAAATGCTTACAATCACACAAAGAGTTACTCGTCACTCTCAAACTAATCTTTGCACTGAATTGGACCCTAATGAGGCTGCCTCCTAGTCACAGAGTTTATGAGGCCAATATCAGGGGATTTTGGGTATATGAACTACGAAGCGCATTCAGAAATAAAATTAGTTCTTGATAGTTCTCATGGTGGGTGACTAGTAGCATTATGAGTATTTAAATTTGTGGTGGTATTAATCGACTATGTGTTTTTTCTGTCAAGCACACTTATCTATTTCCACTGATAGTACCCTTTACCTTATGAAGGATTACTTGATACATATCCATGGATAATATCTAGAGTGTTGACATTACAAACTTTCTCATTTTCCTGTTCATTGTTAGCATACATGATTAGGAATTGAGGTTGGATATGGTTATCAGATAGGATTTGGCATGGGAAAGGGAGATGGCTTAGGAATAAAGTTGAATCTTGGGTTTCTGGACTGGGTTGGAAATAGTTGGCAGCAAGATACATGGCACATGTGCCATTGGTTGGACTTTCGATACATAGTGATGGGTAGTTTTACTTTGTTCCCTGTACTCAAATTCAATATTCCATTTTCTGTTCTGTATATCAGCATCTTCACGGTCATAAATATTATCAAATTGCATGATAAGCTTTTTGGCCGAAGTTCTAGATCTCCAATTGCACTTTCTTTTGCTTCCTACATATAATTTTGATATATATTGAGTAGTTTTTAGTGTTTACTGTTACTTCCTGCTGCATGCTATTAGATTATATTATTGGGTTTCTTTGACTTGCACTTTCTAATGAAGATTTTGAATATAGGATGAGCAAGCAAAGTATGAGAACGAAGAGCTAGATCGTGCTATTGCACTTTCTCTATCTGAAGAAGAGCAAAAGAAGGCAAATGGAATCAGTATGTCTGTCTTTGCATTTCACATATTTTTTGTCTTTTTTCATGAGCAGTTTTTCCTCTTGTTTTGGTTTGATTTTGTAATCCTAACTCATCTGACCTAATAGAGCATGCAGTTATGGATGCTTGGAAATATGCAACAATAATAGTTTATTTGCCTACAGCTTATTCTTGCCTATTGTCACATTCAAGCTATTTGGAAACTTCATTGATTGATCTTTACAAAATATGCGAGAATATGAAACTGCAGTAATAAAACTCGGATGTGTTATTTATCATGCTCCGACCATTCTCCTTTGCCATATAGTATTGATATTTAACTCATCAATTATTGTAAGAAAACTAACGTGTAACATCCTGTCATCCTCTTCTTTTTCATGTATTGGGTGGTTAATTTATCGGTGTTATATAAGATTGCAACCTTATCTGTAGAAGGAAGGTTCCAATGTTCGATACTGTCCATTTTAGTTGGACAGTTTAGATTTGACACGTCTTTTAAGACTTGTCAAAAAGTGGCATGTCTTTTAAGATTGTCTCAAATCTACACCATCCAAATAAAATTGATAGTACAGAGTACTGCAAGCTTGCTTCTACAAGTAAGGTTGCAATCTTATATAAATTTGTTCCTAACTTATTTTCCTTCTTATAGAGAGCAAAAATTGCTATATTAAACTTTTTCTTCTTGGAGTTATCTTTGTTGTTTTTTTGCTATATTTCAAGATTTTTTTGTTGCTTCATATGTATAAATGCTACCTTATGTTCTTATCCATGGGTGCATCTGTGCATGAATACTCAAGTGCATTTTCTTTTTAAATTATTAGATGGAAAGATTCGTTGAACTTTGCATGTGCATAGATATGTTTCTTCTAACTATATAGGTGGCAGATGGTAGGTTGTACAATCGAGCTAATGCATGCATGGAATTCCTTTGTATGATTTGCATGCTGTGAATGAACGCATGTATTAATGAATTTTTTTATCAGATTGTGGGTATTCATGGATGCGCTTTTCACCTTTCTTTTTATGTAGGTAATGGGTCCCATTTGGATGAAGATGAACAGCTAGCAAGAGCTCTACAAGAAAGCTTGAATTTGGAATCACCTGGGTCTGAGTCTCCTCCTCATGCAATTGAACCATCATATCAGCCTTCATCTTTTCCTTTCTCCACAGGGTTCAGGTATAAATAGTAAGTAGTCTATGATACATGCTTCAGTCATGTACTTTAGTCTTCCTTTTAACATTTTCTATTTCTGGATTTATACTAAAGCCTGCAGATCAGAGAAGCATGACAGATGACCTTGTCTTTGTTACAGATGCCTACTCATGTTTTGCCATAGTATTTCTTTCTATTCATTACAGATGTCGCATGAATATTTAAGTGTGGCTTCAATAGGCGTTAAGATGAGGGAAAGTAGGCTTAGGTGGGTTGGAATCGGTTAGGAGGTGCAATTTGGTTCAAGTAAAAGGCTGTAAAAGGGCAAGGGGAAGGCCCAAAAAGACATAGATATAAGTAGTGAGAAAAGATATGATGACTTTTAATTTTACTGAGGGTATGACCCTTGATAGAAAAGATTGGAGGAATAGGATTCATGTAGCAAACCCCAAATACTTGGGATAAGGCTTGGATGATCATGATGATGCATAAGAACTCCATCCTAAAGCCTATTTATGGTTGAGGGATGGCAATGGATGCTTGAACATGATTTTCCAATGTGATATTTTTTTATTTTTTGATAAATTTGATTGTTTCTTAGTTACCATTTGGCCAACGAACTCAAGAGTCATATGACATGGAAACTGGTTCCAACTCTATCCACAATTCCACATTTTCCCTGTAATACTGACATACCTGATCCATCTCTTGGACAAGTCCCAAGCCAATTACTAGTTCTATAGTTAGGTGTGGTGGTCAATGAACCTTGGAGACAAGGGGAAGGATGACCAATATTTTCTCAATTAGGTTGCTGGAAAGTAAATGTGTCTGAAATGGATATGGTGGGTAGCCAACCTTTTGACTTTCCAAAAAAAACCAACATAGGAACAATAGATAGACAGCAATGTCGCTCCTAAAGAAGAGAGTACTTCAAGTTTGATAGGAACATTGCATAAATGTGCAGAAGGACCCAAAAAACAAAAAAGAAAAAAAAAAACCAAAAAAGCAAATGCCCAGTCCCCTCCATGGCTATTGATCTTTTTCTGAAGGCCCAGAGGAATTCATTCTATTTTTAACAGCTTTTGTGTAGTTGACTTGGTGATGTACATTGTAGGATATGTGCGGGTTGCAACAGGGAGATTGGCTATGGACGCTTTCTTAGTTGCATGGGTGCAGTTTGGCATCCACAATGCTTTCGTTGCCGTGCTTGTAATGAGCCAATCTCCGAGTATGAGGTATTAATAGTAAATGTTAATTGACGACGGCACTCTCTTTAAGTACTAATTTGTCCTCACTTTTAACAATTTATTCCTGTGCATCTGAAAAAGTTGATAATTGAGCGATTTCTTGTATAGTATTTGAACAGTCTGTTTCAGATATGTATATCATCTGTCCTATACATTTTCTGGGCATAATTTGATGGTTTTCTTTTTTGCAGTTCTCCATGTCTGGGAATGATCCTTATCACAAGTCCTGCTACAAAGAACTTTATCACCCGAAATGTGATGTTTGCAAGGAATTTGTAAGTATCTCAGTATTAATTTTCGACTGTTCCTGCATTGATAACTGATTTTGCAAATCTTCTAATTTATATGTTCAGCAAGTTAATTTTCTCTCAAACATCTTTCATCCATTCATGCTAATTGGTTTCTCTAATTTTCTGGAAAGATAAGGAGTATGCTTGATGTAGTTTCTTGCAGTTTGTTCAGTTATTGGATCCTTTGGATATTCTTTCGACTTTCAGCTTCGAGTCTTAATTTGGTAAATATTATTTTATACAGATCCCAACAAATAGAGCTGGTTTAATTGAGTATAGAGCTCATCCCTTTTGGGGGCAGAGGTATTGTCCTTCACACGAGCATGATGATACACCTCGATGTTGCAGTTGTGAACGGATGGAGGTTAGATTGACATTGGCCATACTAGGTTTCTGGTTCATTTTCTTCACTTTTCTCAAACGTACTATGATTTTCTTGTGGTTTACCTGGATGTTCTGATTACAAAATGTTATGCTAATTGTGTTCCTTACATTTGCTCAATTTTCAGCCTAGAGATACGAAATATGTTACCCTAGATGATGGAAGAAAGCTTTGTCTTGAATGTTTGGATTCATCCATCATGGATACAAGTGAATGCCAACCTCTTTACATGGAGATACAGGACTTTTATGAAGGCTTAAACATGAAAGTGGAGCAGCAAATTCCTTTGCTGTTGGTTGAAAGACAAGCTCTAAATGAAGCCATGGAGGGAGAAAAGAGTGTAAGGCCCTTTCATATAGGCATCCTTGCAAAAGAGAATCTGTGGATTATCAAAAGAAAGAAGCACTATTCTAACTGCGTCTTCTTGAATTCTAATTGGTTGAGATGTAATTTGAATTTTTGTTTTTATATATCTTTTACTTTGAGCAGGGAACTCATCACTTGCCTGAGACAAGGGGCCTCTGCCTCTCTGAGGAGCAGACAGTCAGCACTGTAAGGATGCTTTTGTAGTGTTCTTGTGAGCTCCATTTGTTATTTTAAAAATGTGGGTAACCTATTGAGAGATTTATACTCATGTCCCCTTAAATTACCATTAATATAAAAATCACCTCCTCTTTGTTTTTTTTTAACTTAACATTCGTACCCCTTTTTCCCTTTTATTGTTTTTCCCAAAATGCCCCCATGTTGGACCGAAGGTCCTAAGTGACGACAACTTCTGACCGAAGTCTAGAAGAATTCTTTTACTATAACTTCGGACCTTCAAGGTCTAAAGTGATTGGACTTCTGACCTACGGTCACAAGTGAATGACGTGCTCTCTAGAACACCTTCAAAGTCTAAAATCAGGAATTTTTCATTTCAGAAGTGGGGGTGTTTTGAGAAAATCTAAAAACCACAAAAAATGGGTATGAACCTACAAATACAAAAATCTGGGGAATTTTTATAGTAATGGATATTTAAGAGTGTAAATTTCTCTGAACTATAATCTACTATGAAAAATAGAGTCAGTCTGATGAATTAATGGTCAGTGATGGAGTGAATAAGACCCACGTTCTATCCATCACTTAATTGGACAGTGGACCACAGTTTTTGCAGTGCATCATGTTGTGGTATTATCTCTATTGGAAATTGGAAGCTGGTGAAGTGAAAATTGGTTTGTGATTTAAGTGCCATTTTCCCTCTGTGAATGTTAGATTCTGAGAAGGCCAAGATTTGGGATGGGAAACCGCATTGTGGATATGATAACAGAGCCATATAGGCTGACTCGCCAATGTGAAGTGACTGCCATTCTGATTTTGTATGGTCTTCCGAGGTACTAATTTTTTCCATTATGTTCTTTTTCATGCGATCTTCTCTGCTCTTTTCACAAAAGTAGCTGGAGTTAGGCCTAGTACTACTAGGGAGACTCCATTAGTGTAGTTCTTTTCTGCGCTTTCATAAGAGCAATTTTTTATAATTTTTTCATTATTTCTTTGATTAGAGTAACCAATGAGAATATATTGAGTTTTTGTGCCTAATTGGATTTTATCGTCATATACAGATTACTTACTGGGTCCATCCTGGCTCATGAGATGATGCATGCATGGCTGCGGCTTAATGGTCCTCCCTCGCTCCATGTTCCTGAGGCTTTTTTCTTGTTACGTAGTTATTATACTTGTGGGCATTGTTTTGGGCATGTAATTGTGTTTTGGTATTAGTTCATCTTAGTCATGGCAGTGATGAATATCAAAAGTTCATTGCTTTAGTCATTGTATGAGTGGGTGTGCACATGCTTATGTGCACTTGACCATGCCCGTGTGTGTGTGTGTGAGAGAGAGAGAGGTACAAGTTGGGCACTAAGTTCTGCCTTTTTTCACTTTTTTGACAGGGTACCGCACTCTCAGTCCTGATGTAGAAGAGGGCATATGCCAGGTATTGTCTCACATGTGGCTTGAGTCCGAGACCATGTCAGGATCAGGCAGCAATGTGGCTTCGTCATCATCAGCATCCTCCTCCTCCTCATCATCAAAGAAAGGTACAAGGTCTCAGTTTGAGAAGAAACTTGGAGATTTCTTCATCCATCAGATAGAGGCCGACTCTTCGCCAGCTTATGGTGATGGGTTTAGAGCAGGGAACCGTGCCGCGCTCCGCTATGGTCTACGGAGAACTCTGGACCATATTAGGTTGACCTGTAGCTTTCCGTACTGATGAAGTTTGGAGAGTGATTTGATACAGTGGCTCGGTAGCTTGGCCCTTGTGTTTGAGTTTAGGGCCTAGCATATAATTGGATATGAGAAAAATAGAAGGCAATAATGGTTTAGGGGGAATTGAACTGTAGTATTAGCGGTCCTGACTTTTTTGCAGCTGTTAGTGCTACTCAATGAAATTGTGGTATAATTGTTATACATGAATCGAATAAATTGGATGTTATAGTGAACTTGATTCTTGCAGCCTAGAGATGGGTTATATTTAAAGTTGTACTTTTGCATAATTTGCTTTGGATTGTTTTAGATGCTCAAAGTTTTGGATGTTTGTATGCTTGCTGAAGGGGGAATTGGGACTCTCTCTCTCTCTCTCCCTCTCTCTGTGTAATGTGTGTTCACATGCTCACCATCTATGCACTTGTACATACATCTTTTACATGTGCATATTCTTGCATACATGGCAGGGACTGTCTGAATACAATCTTGTTTTATGCATTGAACGGATGTATGTGTGTGTCATTGCACGTATTTCATTTAGCATTTCATTTAGCATTGCACAATTACATGGCCAAGCATGCGTGATTTCCCCATGCATGCTTGTATCCGTGCATAAATGGATGTGTAAGCCATGAAGCAACTTCATGTACATGCATGCATGTGAATTTGCATTTGTATTCTATGACAATAAGGCATGTATGAGCATGTTGTTAAAACATATGCCATCCAAATTCAATGAAGACAGTGCTACAAGCTAAGTCAAGCTGTACATTACATCAGCACGTCATTCTTTATTGCTGATATGTAGAAACACCAATTCTTTGACCGCTTCCATATTGCTCAAATCATCAGCTTGGCTCAAGCCAACCTATCTCTTCTCCTGGCTCATTTGATTCAGATGCCAGTCCCTGAATTTTTTCAATGGCAACAAGAAATCACATAAATGGAAAAGAAAATCCCATTTGTAATTGCAACTAAAAAGAAAAGTAAGTTCACTTTGAGATTTCAAAAAAAGGAAAAGAAAAAGGAATAGGAAAAGGAAATCATGACTTTATCAAGCTGCAGGATTGGGCAACAAGCTAAGCAAGTTTCACAATTTTCTTCACTGAACATAAGCAACAGAAAACAAAGAATCTTCATGTTCAGGTGCGTATCAGAGAAGGAAGCATTTTGTGAGAAAAGCGTTAATCTTAAACATATTAAAATGAAAATTAGAACCAGCAGCTGAGCTTACGGCTCAATGCAGGGATATTTTTGATGCAGAAGAAGCCAAAGAGAAGATTCCAAAACAAGCTTATATTTACACAAAAATTCATAACCCAAATACTAAAATATCCTCAGTTTTTAAAGAACTCTTCTTCTGAAAGCTACATAGTACTAAATTAAAAAGCAAAAATCAACTAACCAACACCTGCAACTATGAAACTCCGAGGGCACCCATATTCTCTTAGGTATTTTATCCATGGCAATCTCGTGCTTCCTTGTATTAGTGTTTCTTTTCTCCCTCTTTGCTTTAGAAACCCAATCCCAAACACTCACTAATCAAACTGATTTCTCCTGCGACTCAACAGAAAGCTGTCATACTTATGTCCTGTATCGTGCCCAAGTGCCCGAATTCTCAGACCTTGGAAATATCTCTGACCTCTTTGGAGTTAGTCGCTTATCTATCATGAGAGCAAGTAATCTCACCGCAGAAGTTGTTACTCTGTCACAAAACCAGCAGGTATTTGTTCCCATACTTTGTGGGTGCACAGGAAACCACTCATATGCCAATATATCATATCAGATCCAAAAATCTGATAGTTTTTACTTGGTTTCCACCTATAAATTTGAAAATTTAACAGATTATCAAGCAGTGGGGGATTTGAATCCAAATTTGAATCCAATCAATTTGTGGGTTGGAACCGAAGTGATTTTTCCAATCTATTGTAAGTGCCCTTCAAAAACCCAGGTGCAAAATGGCACAAATTTTTTGATTACTTATGTGTGGCAAAAAGGAGATAATATAGTTGAAGTGAGCAAAAGACTTAATACTTCAGTTGAAAGAATTGAAGACGCAAATAAATACAGGAATTTTACAGCTGCTATGGACCTTCCTGTGTTGATTCCAGTCGATCAATTGCCAGTTTTATCTCAGCCTCCTTCAGGTTCTACTCCTGATTCTTCCCTCTTACTCACTGATAACCATGATGACCACCAAGTTCTTATCATTTTTTTATCAGCTATGGTATCTTTCCTTGTACTAGTTTTGGGTTTTCTTGTTTTCCTAATTTACACACAGCATAAAAGATCAAAACCCTTGGTTCTTGAGGGATCGAGCTTTGAATCAATGATTCGAAGTAATCTGAAGAAAAATAATAAAGTCGAGAATTTGAGCCCAAGAACCCCAAAAGAAAAGAGATTAGTCGAAGTCTCAGACTGTTTTGATAAGCCAGTTGTGTACCAGAAGAGTAAAATTATGGTAGCAACCATGAATTTGAGTGAGGATTGCAGGATAGGGCGATCAGTTTACAAAGCCATAATTGATGGAAAATGTTTTGCGGTTAAGCAGTGCAGAGGACATATCACAGAGGAAATCAACATTCCACAGAAGTTTAACCATGTGAATTTGGTGAAGCTTGCTGGTATTTCCATGGAGTCAGAATGGAACTGCTTCTTGGTATATGAATTTGCAGAGAATGGGTCACTGGATAAGTGGTTATATCAGACGATCCTATCTCCACCAAGCTCTATAAGCTTCCTTTCATGGAGAACCAGATTGACAATAGCATTGGATGTTGCTAATGGCCTTCAATATATGCATGAACATACCAGACCAAGTATTGTTCATAGGGATATCAAAGCAAGAAATATTCTACTCACTGATCAACTTAAGGCCAAGATATCAAATTTTGCCACGGCTAGAGCTGTGACAAGCTCTGTGACCCCTAAAGTGGATGTTTATGGATTTGGGGTCCTTTTGTTAGAGCTTCTTTCAGGGAGGAAGAACATGGATACCCAAGAAGAGTGTGAAAAAGTGAATTTATTGAAGGAATTAAGAGGTATTTTGGAAGTTGAAGAGAGGAGAGAGGAGAGGTTAAGGCAGTGGTTAGACCCCAAGTTGCAGGGCTTTTATCATTTTGAAAGTGCTTTAAATTTGGCCACCATGGCAAGGGCATGTACATGGGAGAAAGCTTCTGAGAGACCAAGCATGGCAGAGATAGTTTTAAATCTCTCTGTTCTGATCCAGTCATGTCCTGATTCATTTGAGGCATCATGGGCTGCTCAAGAAGAAGCTACAGAGGACGATGAACACAATATCACACCAGTCAGAGCTCGCTGACAGAGACCCCTTTTCCAGATCTATCTGATTCATAAAAGAAATAATCTCTCTCTCTCTCTCGCTCTCTCTCTCTCTCTGCATGTTTATACAAATTAAATTTATCTTGTGTGTTGCTTCAAGGCTCTACTGGATGGGGGATAAATATGTAAATGTTTAGTTCCTGCAATATTATACTATGGAAAAGTTATTTGTTTCGTCTGTATGCAATTTATACCGTCAGATAGTGTGGATATTTGGGGAGAGCAGCCTAGGTTTGTTTCCGCTGATTAATCTTTGTGATACTATTCAAAATAAATCTCGATGAAATTTCATCATGAGCTAATATGAATATGTTACACTCAATTGATGAGACCTTTTCCTGGGTAGTTAATCAATGAGACTTTTGAGCAAAACCTGTTCTTCCTGCCAATAGCTTCCATAATTGAACCACCTGATCCAATTAAACAAAATTCAATTCAAACCAAATAATAGTCTTGTTTTTTGGGGAAATTTAAAGCAAAGGTATATTTAGACACGTATGATACGAAAATTACAATTTATCATTGAAATCAGGTCGTATTCAGTACACAAATTGAATAAATTTTATTCTTGGTTACACAAAACAAGTTTGAATTTCGACTAATCATCTCATTTAACTTGTGATCATTGGTATCTCATGCTACCAGATGAATTATTACACAATAACCATGAAGCCACATAGATTTTGGAAAGACACTGGAAAACCCCATTCATGCTTGGACGTCTTTCTGGTTCTTGCCTCAAACAAGCACCAATCAATTGAACCATGGCGAAAGCCAAATCCAATGGATAATTCCCATCCATCACAGGTTCCATCCATCCTTTAAGCTCCTCTTTGGCATTATCGTGCTCTATTAATTGGATTATAACCTCTGATAAGAGCACTTCTCCTTCTTGATGCTGCACAATTGACTCTCTCCCTGTGATCAACTCCAGTAGTACTACTCCAAAAGCATAAACATCCATCTGTGGAGTCACCAGCCCATTCTGCAAATGCTCAGGTGCCATATACCCTCTTCCATCAATGGCATTTCTCGCCTTCTTGGATCCTGCCAGCCTACAATCTGTGATCTTAGCCCTGAAATTTGTATCTAAAAGTATACTACTGCTGTTGACATTACCATGAGGATAAGGAATTCTTGCATGATTGTGGAAATACTGAAGCCCATTAGCCACATCCAAAGCAATTTGCACCCTTTTCATCCATTTTAAAGTCTTTGACCTATTTGGTTCATGGATCCAGTCACTTAAAGACCCATTCTCCATTAACTCATAGACAAGGTAGTAGCTGTCTTGGTTGAAACAGAGGCCTAAAAGCCTGACAACATTGAGATGGTTTATCTTTTCTGTCTTGATGGTTTCCTTTAAATCATATGTATTCACCTTTTTAATGGCCAAAACCGTACCATTTACATTGCCAAAATACACAGACCCCTTGATTCTGAACTCAGATGAGAACCCATTTGTAGCAGCATGAAAATCTCGGTACCTGTACACTTTTAGGCCATTATTGGTACCGAGATCATCCAAAAATTCTGTGAGTTTCTTCCTCTTTGAGCTCTCAGGCTTTGATGGATTCTCTTCATCGATAGCCTGACCTGATCTTTTCTTTCTATTATAGAAGCAAAAGAAATGGAGAAACACACAGCAAAGAATAAGGAGAGAAATCCCAACTCCTACTCCAAGCCCCACATATCACCCAATTCTTGAGATTTGGGTTGTGGAAGGAGGAGAGAGAGTAGGTGGAGGGGATATGATTCCATTAAAGAATGGCTCATCCTCTAAAGGAATCAAGAGTGTAGTGAGAGGGTAAATATCGGAGTTTTCCTTAGAGAGCTCATTGGCATCAAGAATACTCTCATGGATAACACTAAATTTCAAGCTCACACTAGAAATACTGTCACCCTGAATCACCGGATAGCTCAACAGATACTTCACACCTTTGTCAATTTACTTATTGCTTGGACAAGCACATTTCAGAGGAACCTTAATCTGTGAACCATTAGATAACTTTTTAGGCTCGACCTTGTAATACATATCTGAACAATGACAATTCACAGGGATGATCACCTCTTTTCCATCTTGAAAGATGGCAGAGAGAGAAACTGAATTGATACGAGCCAATTCATTGGATCAGACCCATAAAGCTCAGAAATGGCTTCGACTGAGTCATGGGGTTTTCAGGACCTGAAAATTTGGTAAGAATCGCAGGAAGGCTCTGCGTCAATGCAAGTGTAGCCATTGTTTGAAGAAGAATTGTTAGGAGAGACTTCTCCGTGATAAGGTTGCTGGGCTAGCAGGCATGGCAGAGAGAGGATGACACAGTGGAGGCAAAGGACGAGGCAATGGTGATCCATTTGGTGAAATGGGCTAGTAATTGGATCTTGTTTGACAAGAACTGGTGGATCACAAAAAGGACCTCTCTCTCTCTCTCTCTCTCTTGAATTAGCCTGTCACTGCTCTCTCTATCTCTCTGGTGAATTGTCACTGATATGGTGCTCACAAGGAGTGTATACAATCTGTGTCTTCGTTAGAATTGAAGGCGTTGGGATTGTGCCCATAACAAAGGTCGGATTAGCAAAAGAACTCTCTCCCCTGAACTGAGCTCCTTATCAGTAACCTTGGGTGGCAAGAAACCTGAAATCTCTCTCTCTCCCCGCTTCTAATTGATTCTCTTTTTCTCTCTCTAAATGACAAGGAACAGGAAAGCCTCCTCTGTTCTTGAATTTCCAAGGAAACAAATGTGGAGGTCTTTGCATGGGGATTGAAGGGTTTTCTAACGTGGGTTATAAGGGATGTGTTGTTGACTTCATCAAATCATATGAGTCGTTACATACAAAAAATTCAAAAAGATGAGATGAGAGAGAAACACAGAGAATAATCAGAAGGTGAGAAGAAAGAGAATACAGAGAAGAGGCCGCCATTCTATGAAACAGTCAACAACCAAAAAAAACTTCGTCAAGGCTTTTAATACTGTAGCCGTACCATCTAACTCGACATTGACTCCCAAGTACAAGTACGTTTCGGAAAGAGGGGCTCCGTCGTGGCGGTAAGCACCCCCACACTTGGTTACCACCTTGTGTTTTCAATCCATTGACACCACTTATTAATATTTTTTAAAAAAATAACTTCTCGTCTATTTGAAAAAGCGGACAGGTCTTCCCCTCTAAATTACACAAAATAAAATAAAATAAAACCATACAAAGTTGGTTTCTCATCACCTCAAATTTTACAGGTCTTGTGGGAAAATGCAGTTTTGGTGCTATAAAACTAATAAATATCATCTCGATCTCGACAATAAGAGATTTGAAAAGAAAAAGAGTTTTTAGATCTAAAACTAGCCGTTTTAAAATATGTTTTCGAAGTTGTGTTCATAAGTAAGACATGTTTGCATGCCTTCAAATTCCATAATCATGGTGGATATAAAAATATGTTTTCGAAGTTGTGTTCATAAGTAAGACATGTTTGCATGCCTTCAAATTCCATAATCAATGGTTGATATAGATATGTAGGTCATCATAAGAGTTTATAGGCCTTAGCAGTATCTAAGGCAGGATTTTGCTGTGTAGCTGTAACATCGTAAAGAAACGGGCCTATCATAAAAACTAAATTTTCCTACTTTTTAAAAATTGCTGTGTAGCTGTAAAATCGTAAAGAAACGGCCCAATCATAAAAACTAAATTTTCCTACTTTTTAAAACTATTCTTCAAATTCTTCTTTGAGATGGGCATATCATAATAACCAGTTCTTTACACATAATAATAATAATGATAATGATAACGATAATCATGATAATGATGATGTTGATAATGATAATAGTAATAGTAATAATAATAACAATAATAATAACAATAATAATAATAATAATAATAATAGAAAAGTTTATATAGAGCCGAGGCTCTAAACAATCAATTTAGAGCCCACCTCACTAAAAGAGGTTGTTTTGATGCCCAACTATCATCAAATTGTTCATCTCGACACCAAGATGCATTGAGATGAGAAAAAAATTAATTTTAAGTTTTGAAAATGATGCATCTTGTAACACATTTTTAAACTGTTAATTTTCAAGATTTTCAAGTGTTCATATATCAGCTCGATCTACATTATTTTTTAAAACTTTAAATTTTATAATTATAAATAAAAATATATTTTAAAGTTATCACAAAAATTTTCAATATTAAATCTACTATTTGAAGGTGGGCTCTAGTTTGATTGTCTAGAGCCTTGGCTCTGTCCAAACCACGCCCATAATAATATGACGGGCATTATGAATGCAAATCCCTTATAATAAATATCCTTTTTCCTCACTTCCCTTGCACGTGTGAAGACTGCATGAGCAAAAGCCCCCTGATCCATTTGTGTGCTAGAAAATCTCAACCACATATAATAGAACTCAACCTAGGCCTCTAGAACTATCTTATTTTTGTCTATAGTGTCTTTCCAACTCCTGGAAAAAATAACATAATACCCATAGATGGCCTCTAGAACTATCATACTTTCGTCAATTATTTCTTTCCAACTCTTGGAAAAGATTAATGTAATACCAATATATGAAAGTTCATGGCATCGGTGATCCAATCGGAAATCGAGCGATCTAGATCAGGTATCGATTGTACTATTTCGGATCCACTAATAAATGAGATCCAAACAATTTGTTAAAGAAAATCGGATTGATGATGTCATCACCCGACGATTCGCTACAGTGTAACGTCATGGCCGCGAGTCTCTACAAAAAACCGGAGTTATTGAACAATATTGTTATAAAATTGTATTGGCTGGATCCAATTTACATCATCCAATAGGCGCTTCCACCGAATGTCACGCTCACCTCAAGCATTTCTACTTTCTTAGTACTGTTGAGGTCACCATTTTATAATGGCATAATCTTTGGATTTGGTATTACTTTTAGCCGTCTACATTTCTTTCCAAGAGCAAGTTCGTCATTGCTTCATTGGATGCCCCACGGTGGTATTGTACTTATTTTAGTTGTAAGGTCCTTTAATAGGCCATTTTGAGTTTTTTTTATTTTATTTTAGGTGAATAAGTCATTTTGAGATGGAAAAGGGTAAATGCAAAAATCCTAACCAGATCAGGGCGATGCCTAAAAGGAAAAGGGCTGGGCCTGGGCCCGGACCAAGTCTGGCCTGGCCCATATCCAGGTTTTGTTTTAAGAGGTGTTATCTGCATCAATTGACACACCAAACACTTTTTCTTTTGTGTGTTTGATAACTAAAGATTTTGGACGTGGGAGTTAAACCTCCCACTTTTGCATTTGATAACAGGGAGATTTCGAAGGTGGCACTCCACGCCCTTCCAAAACCCATTTCCTCATCGTTAAAATGCGTTGATTTTTCGAAGGCAGCCCTCCATTAAAAAAAAAAAGTTGAGGGAAGGGCGGTCTTCCACAGATGGTCTCCGTTTTTTTTTTTTGTGAGATTTAAATCAAGGATATATTTACACACAGAAGATATGAAAATCATAATTTATCATTGAAATCAGATCGTATTCAGTACAAAAATTCAATAAAATTTATTCTCGGTTATACAAAACAAGTTTGAATTTCGACTGATCGTCTCATTTAATCAGTGTTTATTTGTGTCTCATGCTTCCAGATGAATTATTAGACAATAACCATGAAGCCGCATAGATTTTGGAAAGACACTGGAAAACCCCATTCATGCTTGGACGTCTTTCTGGGTCTTGCCTCAAACAATCAGCAATCAATTGAGCCATGTCGAAAGCCATATCCAATGGATAATTCCCATCCATCACAGGGTCCATCCATCCTTTAAGCTCCTCTTTGGCATTATCGTGCTCTATTAATTGGATTATAACCTCTGATAAGAGCACTTCTCCTTCTTGATGCTGCACAATTGACTCTCTCCCTGTGATCAACTCCAGTAGTACTACTCCAAAAGCATAAACATCCATCTGTGGAGTCACCAGCCCATTCTGCAAATGCTCAGGTGCCGTATATCCTCTTCCATCAATGGCATTTCTCGCCTTTTTGGATCCTGCCAGCCTACAATCTGTGATCTTAGCCCTGAAATTTGTATCTAAAAGTATACTACTGCTGTTGACATTACCATGAGAATAAGGAATTCTTGCATGATTGTGGAAATACTGAAGCCCATTAGCCACATCCAAAGCAATTTGCACCCTTTTCATCCATTTTAAAGTCTTTGACCTATTTGGTTCATGGATCCAATCACTTAAAGACCCATTCTCCATTAACTCATAGACAAGGTAGTAGCTGTCTTGGTTGAAACAGAGGCCTAAGAGCCTGACAACATTGAGATGGTTTATCTTTTCTGTCTTGATGGTTTCCTTTAAATCACATCTATTCACCTTTTTAATGGCCAAAACGATACCATTTACATTGCCAAAATACAAGGACCCCTTGATTCTGAACTCAGATGAGAACCCGTTTGTCGCAGCATGAAAATCTTGGTACCTGTACACTTTTAAGCCATTATTGGTACCAAGATCATCGAAAAATTCGGTGAGTTTCTTCTTCTTTGAGATCACAGGCTTTGATGGATTCTCGTCATCAATAACCTGACCTGATCTTTTCGTTCTATTATAGAAGCAAAAGAAATGGAGAAACACACAGCAAAGAATAAGGAGAGGAATCCCAACTCCTATTCCAAGCCCCACATAGAGCCCAATTCTTGAGATTTTGGTTGTGGAAGGAGGAGGAGAGAGAGTACGTGGAGGGGATATGATTCCATTAAAGAATGGCTCATCCTCTAAAGGAATCAAGAGTGTAGTGAGAGGGTAGATATCAGAGTTTTCTTTAGAGAGCTCATTGGCATCAAGAATAGTCTCTGGGCTAACACTAAATTTCAAGCTAACACTCGAAATACTGTCACCCTGAATCACTAGATAGCTCAACAGATACTTCACATCGTTCTCAATTTGCTTATTGCTTGGACAAGCACATTTCAGAGGAACCTTACTCTCTGAACCATTAGGTAACTTTTTAGGCTTGATCTCGTAATAGGTATCTGAACAATGGCAATTCACAGGGATGAACACCTCTTTTCCATCTTGAAAGATGGCAGAGAGAGAAACTGAATTGATACGAGCCAATTCAGAGGGATCAGACTCGAAAAGCTCAGAAATGGCTTCGACTGAGTCATGGGGTTTTCGGGACCTGAAAATTTGGTACGAATCGCAGGAAGGCTTTGAGTCAATGCAAGTGTAGCCATTGTTTGAAGAAGAATTGTTCGGAGAGAGTTCTCCTTGATAAGGTTGGTGGGCTAGCAGGCATTGCAGAGAGAGGATGACACAGAGGAGGCAAAGGACGTGACCCATTTGGTGAAATGGGCTGGTAATTGGATCTTGTTTTACAAGAACTGATGGATCACAAAAAGAACCTATCTCTCTCTCTCTCTCTCTCTCTCTGAACGATTCTATTTCTCTCTCTAAATGGCAAGGAACAGGAAATCCTCCTCTGTTTTTGAAGTTCCAAGGAAACAAATGTGGAGGTCTTTGCATGGGGATTGATGGGGTTTTAACGTGGGTTATAAGGGATGTGTTGTTGACTCAATCAAATCATTCATAAAATTCCAAATATAAGAAACGCAGAGAATAATCACAAGGTCAGTGGAGAGAGAGAGAGACAGAGAAAAGTTCCTCGTTTTGTAAAAGTCAATAAAGAAAAAAATTCGTCAACACTGAATATTCTAACGTACCCCTAAGTACAGAGTTCGTTTCGGGTAATGAATGGAACGACAGAGCGTGCACGCTGACGTTTGTTTGACAAGGGTGCCTAAATCCACATAGGATTACTCTGGTTTACGAAATTTATAAAGTTACACTTTTTGTTTTTGACCCAATATTAAAAATCCAATATTTTGTAATCCCACAGAACAGGAAACTCTAACATAGCAGTCACCAGTACCATTTACCAGGTTATGGTTTTACCATTTACACTTTCAAAAAACAAGCTAACTCCTAATCTATTTGAAAAAAACGGAAAAAGTTCTCTACTAAATTACCTAAAAAAAATACAAAGTTGGTTTCTCAGCACCTCAAAATTCTCTGATTTTGTGGGAAGATACAGTTTCGGTGCTGAAAAACTAGTAAATATCATCTTGATCTCAAAAATAAGGGATTTGAAAGGAAAAAGAGTTTTTAGATCTAAAAATACCCATATTGAATATGTTTTCTTGGTTGTCCATCCAAGTGTTCATAACTTTTATATATTTTCATCATTTTAACGTGTCAAATTTCATAATCAACGGTGGATACAAATATGCATGTCATCATGAGGGTTTCTAGGTTGCTGAGTTGCTTTAATATCATAAAAGCAACAGCCCTATCATAATAACTAAATTTTCCGACTTTTTAAATTTATTTTTCAAATTTTTCTTTCCCATAGCCCTATCATAATAATTTATTGTTTACACATTTTTAAAATGTTTTCCTAACTCTTCTTTTGTAAAAGAATCAAGAAAAATAAATAACAAATGGGTAGTGATTTACAATAATAATAATAGGACGGGCATTATTATTTATAGAAAAAAGTTTATATAAGGATGCAATCTTATAATGTAGGACCACGGACGCACCTTAAAAATCCAGCGGAAAAAATTTTAACCATTTTTTAAGTTTAAAATTTTATAATTAAAAATAAAAATAGATTTTGAGATAATCCTAAGAATATTTTATATCAAAATTATATACTATGATAAAATTTAAAGGTTCACCTTACTTCTACACCTACGGATGTCTCCGTTTGCCAACTGCACCCTTATTTATATGCATTCTTATTTACATGGATGAAACTATGTCAAACTTTGGTTTTTGGTATCCCACCGATGTTTTAGGTGAGAATAGCAAAAAAATGGTCCTCTAAAAGCCTTCGGAAAAAAACTAATCTTGCAGTAAAACCGTAGGAAAAAAACTAACTCCTAAACTATTTAAACGAAAAAGATAGGGGCTGTTGTCCCACCGAATTAACCCGAAAAAAAAAAAAAAAAAAGCTATGTCAAATTTTTTGATAAAAATGACTCCTGGGAATTTCCCCGCTTCTTCTTCCTTTGTCGTCATTTCCCTTGCACGTGAGAAGACCGCATGAACAAAAGGTCCTTAATCTGATCAATCCATTTGAATGCTGGAAAATCTCAACCATGGCCCACTGGTTAGTGGGAAAACCAAATATAGTACACCGCAACCATGGCCTCTAGAACTATCTTATTTATTTTTGTCTATAGTGTTTTTTTAAAACTCTTGGAAAAAAATAATACAAGACGAATAGATAAAAGTACATAGAAATGTTTTATTTCATTTTGATCATGCTTCATTCGGAGGCAATATCCACGGCCAATTGTAAATAGATTGTGGATGTATCAGGTAGCAGTGGCAATGGTTTGGGCGATCGGTCCGACCCTAAAAAAGAAGGGCCTGGGCCAGCCCAAGAGCCGGACTAGGGCTAAGGCTAGGACTAGGGTCAGTGCCAGCTCAATTCGGCCTGGCCCACTTTTTTTTCTTTTGCTCTCCTTCACTTATTTTTGGCCTGACCTAGCCTGGTCCTAACAAGGCCAAAGCCGTGGTTGGGCCGACCCTCTAGTGACAAAGGCTTGGCCCGTTGCCACCCAGGAGGCGTTAACTGCATCAACTGACACACCAAACACTTTTTATTTTGTGTGTTTTGATAACTTGAGATTTTGGATGTGGGACCTCCCACTTCTGCATTTGATAATAGGGAGATCTTGGAAGTGTAGCACTCCAAGCCCTTCCAAAAGCAATTTCCTCAACATTAAATTTGTTGGTTTTCGGAAGACTGCCCTTCATAAGAAATGATGGAAGGGCCGTCTTCTATAATAAGTGGGACACTCTACCTTCCTCTCCCAAACAAGGCGTGCATCAAATGCACCCTAACATTTTGACAACGTGAGCCGAGCCGAGCGATCTCTTTAGCAGATTAGGCATGCCCTATTGAACGAGGCTTGAGCATGCCTTTTAATAAGTTAGATATAGGACACATGTATTTATTTAAGACACATATGCGAGTATAAAAAATGTAAACTCTAAATAATATCTAGACCTAATACATCCATATAATACATAGGGGTGTTTGCATGTATTAAATTCTTTATATAATTTTTTATCCTTTTTCTCAAAGGAAATTGACTCTTTTGCTAATCATGTTTTTTTTATCAAGACGGATAGTACGTACCACATATAGTAATAATTAAATACATGAAGAAACAAGAAAAAAGCATTAAGGACAAGAGACCATCAAGAAAATTGAGTTTATATTTTATAACCAACTACTTTTTATTCGGACAATGCAAGAATTATAAACTTCAAAAAGAAATATTCATTAGGACGCCGTTTGGATACCTAGAAATATATTGTTTGTGAAATATATTATTGGTGTAATATATTACTGTGTAATACATTACCTACAAATGGATTGTTACTGTTTGGATAGTATTTAGATGCAACCTGGGAAATACAGGCCTACTATTTGGCTATGTCAGGAAGAAATATGGGAAATGCATTATCAATATTTTACTAGCACTTACCTAGAAACTATCATTTTTTTTTTTTGGTCACAAAATTCCACTAAAATAAGAAACTAAAGTCATCATCACATCATTCTAAAAATATTTTCTAATAATAACATTATCACCATACCAAAATTTTTTTCAACTTGTACCATTGTAAAGTCATCATCACACAATTTCTTACTTATTTTGCATGCTTTTGGCACTTACATAGAATCCCATGTCTTCTAACATGATTAGACTTTGGAACACGATAAGTCATCGGAATAATATGATTGGAATAACATGTTTTCATTGTGATAAAGCTTCTTTTTATTTTTATTTTATAGAAGTCTTTCAAATGTCTATCTATATAATTCCAAATAAACAATAAATTTATGATACCAAATTAAAAATCTTTATGGTACGAGTTACAAAATGGGAATAAGTTTGATTAGTAAACTATAAGGTTTGGTAATTGCAGGAGAAAATTTTGAGGTATTCGAGAAAACTAAATAGGTATATTATTTCAATTGAGGTTTTACTAATCTATTATAAGGATTATGTTGGGTGAAATTTTTTATTATAAATGTGTTGTGTAATTTCTTATGTTGGGTGAAATATTTTATTATAATTATATTGTGTGATTTCTTATTGATTAGATATGCTAAGGAGAGTGGATATGCTAAGGAGAGAGGGAGAATGGAAAAAATCCAGATGAAAGAGTAAGGGGGTTTTAAAAATAAAAATAAAAAGTCAAGATGAGAGGAAGAGGTTTAAAGATAAAAAAAGGTTTAACAAAAAAATACAGATGAGAAAAAAGGATTAAAGAGAGAGGGAATACTTTATGCAAACCAGTTATTAGGGTTCAAGAAAGAGGGGATAGGTTTAGAAAGGGAGGAAACCAAGTCGGTGGTTGGCATTTTATTAAGATGGGATAAGGCAGAGACCCACACGAAAGATATATAAATATTATCCGTCAAGCCCTTACTATAAAGAAAGCACCATGGGAGGAGAATACAAGCATGAGGAAGTGTTCTGTTTGTCAAAATGTTGGGCATGATAGACGTACTTGTCCAACTTTTAGAACTCAAGGATAAAAATATAATTATGCTTACAATTACAATGTAATATTATTATACTTCAATATTGTCTTGTGAATTTGAAATAATGCATCATCTAATCACTATTTTGCAACTTATGCAGGTCTGACATGGAAATTCCCACAATGGAGCCTGAAGCTTAGTGAAATCATATATAGACTTCGCTATGTACACGATTGGAGTTCTTTTTACAAGCCCAATGGTCAACCTTCAAGTTCATCATCTAAAAAAAAAAATTGTAAGCCCAATGCTTAACAATCAAGCTCATCATCTTAGAAATTTTTTGCAAGCCCAATACTAGTGGAGAAGACCTTGTATTGGAATGGAGCTTTGAAATGAAATTTTTGTATAGCTTCCATATGTTGCAAAGTGCATATTGAATAGCTTCAAAATGGAATTTTTGTAAAGGTTTCCATTTTGCAAATTGATGTTGCAAATCAAATTTTTGCAGAGCTTCGAAATGAAAATTGTGTATAGCTTCCATATGTTGGACCCATTAAGGGGAAAATTCCTTTTATGAATTTTTTTGGACCTATTGGTTCCCGCATTTTTCTTGTTGAATCTTTTTTAGGGGAAATTTTTGTATAGCTTCGAAATAGAAGTTTTGTATAGCTTCTATACGTTGCAAACAATATGTAGATATCTCACGCTATCCCATGACTTAGCTCTTTCTCTCTCTCTCTCTCCTACGAACTCTCTCAATAGTGTGCACTTT